TCAGTCTATTTCTCTCCTGATGGAAATATATTAGCGTCTGGTAGTAATGATAGCTCTATCCGTTTATGGGATATCAAAACAGGATAATAAAAAGCAGAATTCAATGGTCATACTAGTGCAGTCATGTCAGTCTGTTTCTCTCCTGATGGAAATATATTAGCGTCTGGTGGTAATTATTAATCTATCTTTCTATGGGATGTCAAAACAGGATAATTAAAAGGCTAATTAGATGGTCATACTAGTGGAGTCATGTCAGTCTGTTTTTCTCCAGAAGGAAATACAATAGCATCTGGTGGTGATGATTAGTTTATCTATCTATGGGATGTCAAAACAGGATAATAAAAAGCCAAATTAGATGGTCATACTAGAGAAATTATGTCAGTCTGTTTCTCTCCTGATGGAAATATATTAGCTTCTGGTAGTTACGATAACTCTATCCGTTTATGGGATATCAAAACAGGATAATAAAAAGCAGAATTCAATGGTCATACTAGTGCAGTCATGTCAGTCTGTTTCTCTCCTGATGGAAACACATTAGCGTCTGGTGGTGATGATAGCTCTATTCGTTTATGGGATATCAATACAGGATTATAATAGGCTGAATTGAATGGTCATACTAGTGCTATCATGTCAGTCCGTTTCTCTCCTGATGGAAATACATTAGCGTCTGGTAGTGATGATAGCACTATCCGTTTATGGGATGCGAGAACTGTCTGTTTTTCTCCTGATGGAAATACTTTAGGATCTTTAAGCGGTGATAAGTCTATCCGTCTATATGATCTTAAGACACGATAAGAAATTAAATCCTCAGATATAAATTACAAAGATTTTCTTGCATAATTTACAACCTGTTTATTTGAAAATTGCCACCAACCAGGTATTTATTTTTTTCAATTATTATTTAGTCTCTAATTATTCTATTCTTGTTATATCACCAGAAATAAAATTGGAAGCACAAGGAACACTAATTTTGTAAGGAGAATTTATAAATCATTAAGGCAATGATTTAAGATATTTATTTAAATCTAAAGGAAGTTTCTTCTTACAAGAATTTAAATAAAGGTGATTTGATTGTTCATTAACAGCATTAAAAATTATAATAAACATCAATATCTAGCATTTTTAATTATTTCTTTATTAGTTCCACTCTTCATTTTCTTTTCTTTAGATAGTTAACACAACAAAGAGGTTAAAGTAAAGTATAAATAGTGATGATGGGTCTATAATATTATGGAATGCGAAAACTAGAAGGAAAAGAGCCAAATTGGATGGTCATACTGTAACTGTCAACTCAGTTTGTTTCTCTCCCGATGGAAAAACATTAGCTTCTGGATGTGGTAGTTAGTATGGAGTTAGTGATTGCTCTATCCGTCTTTGGGATATCAAAACAGGATTATTAAAAGCCAAATTAGATGGTCATACTGAAACTGTCTACTCAGTTTGTTTCTCTCCTGATGGAAAAACATTAGCTTCTGGAGGTGGTAATTAATATGGAGGTGATGATTGCTCTATCCGTCTTTGGGATATCAAAACAGGATTATAAAAAGCCAAATTAGATGGTCATACTGAAACTGTCTACTCAGTTTGCTTCTCTCCTGATGGAAAAACATTAGCTTCTGGAGGTGGCAAGTAATATGGAGGTGATGATTGCTCTATCCGTCTTTGGGATATCAAAACAGGATAATAAAAAGCCAAATTAGATGGTCATACTAGTACTGTAGTATCAGTCAGTTTCTCTATTGATGGAAATATATTGGTTTCTGGTAGTTATGATAAATCTATCCGTTTATGGGATGTCAAAACAGGATAATATAAATCCAAATTAGATGGTCATATTGGTGCTATCATGTCAGTCTGTTTCTCTCTTGATGGAAATATATTAGCTTCTGGTAGTTACGATAACTCTATCCGTTTATGGGATGTTAATACAGGATAATAAAAAGCCAAATAAGATGGTCATACTCATCATGTCTACTCAGTCTGTTTCTCTCCGGATGGTAATATATTAGCTTCTGGTAGTGCTGACTCGTCTATCCGTCTTTGGGATGTCAATACAGGATAATAAAAAGCCAAATTAGATGGTCATACTGGTGTTATCATGTCAGTCTATTTCTCTCCTGATGGAAATATATTAGCGTCTGGTAGTAATGATAGCTCTATCCGTTTATGGGATATCAAAACAGGATAATAAAAAGCAGAATTCAATGGTCATACTAGTGCAGTCATGTCAGTCTGTTTCTCTCCTGATGGAAATATATTAGCGTCTGGTGGTAATTATTAATCTATCTTTCTATGGGATGTCAAAACAGGATAATTAAAAGGCTAATTAGATGGTCATACTAGTGGAGTCATGTCAGTCTGTTTTTCTCCAGAAGGAAATACAATAGCATCTGGTGGTGATGATTAGTTTATCTATCTATGGGATGTCAAAACAGGATAATAAAAAGCCAAATTAGATGGTCATACTAGAGAAATTATGTCAGTCTGTTTCTCTCCTGATGGAAATACATTAGCTTCTGGTAGTTATGATAA